GAAGGCTAAGAATGTACCATAATGCTACGGTAGCGAAATGGCGTTGAAACACTTACAAAACGATGAGATAAAACAAAAGCTCACACGTGAAACTAGGATGAGTGTCACCTCAAACGTTTTCCCTCTTAATTTAAAGAAAGTGGTAATACACTAGGACTTACCTGTATGATGTAAGGGTAATCTAAGCCAACTTCCAATTCCTTTTCGCCATCCTTAGCTGATTCGAGATTCCATTCTTGCTCTGTACGCATGGTTTGAAATCCCAAGTTTGCAGCAATCACAGTGTTTTCCGTTGTCTTGAAACCACTCACCTCCAATTCCACAATCTCTTTACCCACCTCAAGAATCTACAATTCAGTAGTCATGGTGAATTTATAAGCGTTGCATCGAATTGGTCTTTGTCAGTTGGGAAATCAAAATAGAATAGCTTTACAGTATCAACCTTCCAGTAGTCAGCAGTGTAATCAACAAGATAGAGTATAGAGGATGACAGTGAAAAAAGAAATGAGTACAAAAACAAAAGCCAGGACTAGGGCCTCCTAAACACTATTGCCTATAAAAGGTGACAAAGGGCAAGTTTCCAGACACACCATTGAGGAATCTTCTCTTGTTAAAAGGAGATAGCTGTGAACTGGAAATGTATTGGTGGACTGCACATCGTCAGCGTCAGATGGTAACTGCTCATCTTTGGTGGACTGAGGTACTACACTATAGTCAAACATTTCTCCGTTGTCATTTGGGTCTAAGAGCCAAAAAGAAGGCTTTAAAACGAACAATACTAACAGTAAACAGAAAAAAACAAATTTGCATCGCATATTAAGCAACTCTAGGATGTTAGGCTTGATTTCTATTAATTTCTAACCGCCGATGCAATGAGTCGTCATACCACCGCTCTCCTTTTCTTCCGCTTTCATTGATAGAGGTGTAATTTCTTCATTTTGTAATTCATCGCTCTCGGCTTTCCTTTGCTCAGTAAAGGTTCCGATGGGTGGGCCATAGAGAGACCAGAGGCTACTGTACTCGGGTAGCTCAAAGGCAGTGAGACCTCGTGCACGTACACTGCGATGCAGTTGGAGAATTGCCGACCCCACGCCGGACTTTCGAGTTAAACAGGCGATGAGTTCGGTGTGTGCGAGTTCTGCTTGGGCCTGAGTCAGCGATTCGTCTGTAGGGTCGGTTTGCCCGGTGGCTAAGCAAGGCACTTCGCCGGCTGTGATAGATGTCACGGGGCCGATATTTCGAAGAGTATCTAGTATCTATGCAACGGAGAACAAAATCAACAACTGAAAATGCGCATCTAAAACAGTTACACATGATTACTAACTACGATGAACAGGACATTGCTGAAAATCATAAGTGTGCCAGTAAAATATGCTTAAAGGTGGGATTTACCATATCTGCTAAATTTTCTTATCTTTAAGGGCACTTAGAACAGATGTTATTCAAGAATCGACTCTTTGGTAAAGAATTAAATACAAATAACAAGGAAAAATAAGCCGATTGTATAACCTACCTAATGTCCAATTCATTCGAATAGAATAATAGCAGTTAATGGTGCTCATGTAGATGTTGGCACTTATGTGTAACGCCGAGCATTTAAGGGTTCAACTTACCGTGAATGCGTAATCATTTATCACAAACGATCTCGTCGGCTTCCTCAAGGCATTGGGTCCATACAAATCGACGTCCGTGGGATCAGACTCAGTCGAGTCCACTGTCGCCCCGAGGGCTTCTGATTCTGGTGATGATCGAGACTTTTTAGCGAGACGCTTTATCAAGATTCGAAAATCGGTAATACGTGGAGTTTAAGAATGGGAGCATGATGTCAATAATGACTACCTCAGTGTCATCGTTCTCGCCGTTCACAATGTTTGAAACAGTTTTCGGCAACTCAGCGTTATTTACAGACTTCTGGGTTACGTTGAATTTCATAAGCAATGAGTCTGATAGACACGATCCGAAAAATAGCCACTGATTGTCCATTACCGTAATCTACGTAAGAAAAGAAAACATAAGCTATTGTTTGATAAGGATGGTAGAATATTGGAATTTCCAAAAGACAACTTACGACTTCCGCTTGTACGTACGAACCAACTTTGGAAAGGAATAATTCCGTGACTGTGTTATTCGCTTTTTCCAATAAAAGCGTGAGAATATAGAATGCTCCTTCTCTAGTTACTATGAGGATTTCTGAAGATGGCAGTAGGCTGGCGCGGCAGCCATCCAAGGAGAGAGGTCCACACGGGGGCACCTCTTGACCTATGAGAAGTCTACAGGTTATATTTGTTAAAATCAGGGACAGATACCCGAAAATACATTACGACTTACGAAATGGGAAATTAGTTGAAACCTTGGTGTAGTAATTCAGCGGTAGTCCCCGGGATGGTAGGGTCTGTTTCAAGTAGATGATTGAGTTGGTAGCAAGGACGATCACTCCTCCTAGATCCAAATATGAGTGCTTAGTAGTTCCAAATAACGAGAATGCATTAACTAAGGCAGTTATAACGCACCAATTGGCATTGGAATGGGCAGGACTGTGTGACAATCATACGGTAGTAACTCTTGGAACCAAATGATTGGATTAGTACGCTCCTGAAGATTTATTGAAAGAGCAACTATGCAACATGTGTCACGCCGCACTGAAACTCGGCTAAGTAGAGGAAAAAAGGGTTACTTTCGTATTAAAGCTACCCCGTCCATGTTCCAGAAGGTTCATAAAGAACAAGAAGAGTGGGTTCATTAAATCCAAAGAGAAACTGCATATCTATCACGTGGTTTATTGGTTCACCAGTCGATGTGCTGAGATAGGTAGTGAAGGTGGACAAAATGGGGGCATTTGCTTTACCCTGCCATGGAGAATCGACCACTGGTGTAGCACATTGATCAATGGACTGCAATGGGGAGATGAGAGCATCCACGCGTCGAAATGGTAAAACAGCTAAGAACCTGTCATACACCAGCGTGACAGCGCATCTTTGAAGTGGATCAACACGAAGTAGTGGGGTTCTTGTAAACTGTAACCTGCCACCCTATTGTAAAGATAAGCATGGATGGCGATTGAGTACAGTAAATTGATTAATAAGACTAGCACACTTACCCTCAAGGCGGATTGTTCATATGCATGCAAAGAACACGTTTTAAATTCATAAGTATAGATATCAAAAGATAATGCCGACACCTAAAAGAGTAGTAAACAAATGCTGGCATACCTTGGCTTCGCTGAAGCTCAGCAGTATTGAATCCAATGAGTCGCCACAAAAATGAACAGATGAGATGGCTTTGACCTCTTCATACAAAGATATGCCTGTAACATAAGCAAGATATTCGTGACCACTAGTACGTAGTAATGGAAGGAAAAATTACCTATCGCCACGAATATCATATACTTCCAACAAGTTCCCACGGACTATTACAAGGTTTCGATGTCTTGGATGCAATATATTGCAGTAGACGCTATGTGTAACAGCAGTTGGAGAGGATATCTGGCGGAAAAATGTGCTAAAATTTGTCGGCCTGGACAAATCCATCAAGCTACGGATGTGTGGTCAGGTTAAATAAAGATCTTGGGCTTAACCTTGAACTGCTTAAATAATTGTGGCAAGAAACCAGCATCTTTAGATGTTCTATGAACTTGACCGTACTTCATTATTTCAGCTGCTACTGCCACAAACAAGCAAAATTATTCGCAGCCATTTTGTCTGTTTGTTGTTTACTAAAAGCCTGAGAAATATTATTTTAAAATGACGTATGGATGGGCTATTTATCCCAATGTAGTCCCATTTAACCAATCGAAACTTAGAAGTGGAAAGATGAGTATATTTTCACTATTTTATTCGTTTATACCCATTAAGTGGTTGGTGCCAAATTTGGTTATTTGGTTTTATAGTAGGCGAGCTCGCAAATTCCCCTTTGAAAATTTCTCTACATGACAGCTGAAGAGTTTGTTAGTCAGTAATGCATAAAGGAATTAAGTTAATAGAGTAGCAGATCGAAAGTTTCGGTGGAATACATTTGAAGTACTATTTGGACAATTAAAGATTTTAAACGAAGTGCAAACAGCGAAAATCACCACAGCAATGGAAAGCATGTTCTAAGTGTCAGTCAAATCTGGGCGATTTTCTACAATATTTGTAATGCATTTTTTACTAGCGTAAGGATAAGATCGTTTAGTAAAACATTCTAGTATCAAGTGCGGTCTTGAACTGAATCCAGGTTTCCCTGCTTCTAAAACATGGATTCTCATGAAAGGGGGGTAAAGAAAGTAAAAAAAAAGAAGGAACTGTCACCAGCAAATAAGGCTATTTGCAGGAAACCACTGAAGAATTAAGGCGTAGGTGTGAGTGAGAACAATCAGCGACTTCGTGTTCATAGAGACTGACACAGTTCAAGTTCCTGTAATTCCTCACGATCAAGCTTGAGTGAGAGAGCTTATGGAAACACGCATAGATACGAGATGAAATGGAGAATAAGAACAACCCAACATCTGCACTTTCGGAATGTTCACGAGTTTAAGGTACCTTTGTCAGTAAGTTAGCAATGTTGCCGATGGTGCTGAATTGATAAGAGAACATAATAATTTGGATGCACTCATTGTATGAAATCTGCATCATCCCTATATTTTCACCTTTCAAGTAGGGGTCGAAGAACCAAATCCACCGATGGGAGAGTGCAATGTAGGCTGGAATTATTATATTTCTACAGTATCCTACCTAAGGAAGAAGCTAGAACTCTCCTCCGATTCTAACTTCTCCTCCCGAAAATCATTCCAGAGAAGCAAAACTGGTACACCGATCTGTGTGTTTAGTTAAGCCTTGAAGGTCTGCATGGGTGAGCACCAGCGGCTAGTGTCTGTGTGTGATGGACACCACAAGATACCGCCTCTGTATTCATACGGTAAGGCTGTTGCTTGGCATTCAACAAGCACCTACGAAATAGGCATATTGGAAGTAAAACTGAGATCATGTAGGAGGCGGCCAGAACTGGATCGTTTGTTTTCATGAGCAAGATATTTTATGAAAGGGGAAGGTTTCTGCAGTTTATTTTTTACTGACGGTGTGCTTAGGTATCTAAAGGCACTTATGCCATTTAAACACCATAGTTTTAAAATTTAGGTATTTTGATGGCGTTAGCGTACTCAGCGACTAATCTGTAATGCGCTGATTGTTTGTTTAACTCTTCATCTTGGTTACGTGAACGCTTAAGGCTCCGCACTTGTACATGCCGTGGGCACTGTGGCCCCTTCGTCATGCCAGTAGCCTTCCCACAATCCTTCTGTACGTCAGCTATACATATTCAGTTTCAGGAAAGACTGAGGGTGCTACAGGCTATCATTGTTTGCAATTCAGTGGTGCATAGCTTGAAAAAAAGGTGGTTTTTGGTGGGGTATAACAAGTTGTTTGTGCTAGACCTGTTCACACTAGGTAGCAAAATGCATCAAAGTATCAGTCATCGTGTATTTATTTATCAGTAACCGAGAGATAGCTTATTATAATTTTATTTTGTTTACAAGAGAGCTCTTCAGTGATATCTTTATGGAAGTAGAACAGACAGCAAGGGATCCGACCCCTTCCAAATGGCAGGCTACAAACTCCCCTTCTGATTAAGCTCTGTAGTGTTACTAGCGAACAGAAAAGGAGTAAAAATCTTGCCGTTCCTCAAATATCGCCAGTCAAGTCCTGAAGAATGTGGCTTAATGTGTACTACTGCTGTCAGCGTTTGTGCTCGGCAGGAGACTTCCTTCTCAGCATCCCCATCTATTCCACTTCAAAATTACCTCATTTTCATTTATACGACTAATTCCATTTTTTCCACGATTAAAACTGTAAAGAAATAATTCAACTCATGATAAAATAGGATGTCCTTAGAGTGGTATACGGCTCCACACTCCGAGCTCTAAGAATGAAGATTTTCCTAGTAATGGGAGAATCGTGTGTTTCTTTCGAATAGAGACAATAGCTGGTGTTCCATGGCATCAATTCTTCTGCATAAGTCATTTATGCAAATGGTCCGGCTGTTTATGCGGGATTGGCTACTATGTATTCCACCTTCCCTTTAATTCGGAGGGAATTGCACGCCAATGTCAATGTGGAGGCATAAAAAATCTCCAATGACTCAGCTTCTTCCCCCTCTGATCCTTAAATTGTTGGTCCCTCTAAAGAATATATTTTGTTGCGATGTTGCTGAACATAATGATTCTAAAATTGAGCTATTTTCGCATAATTTTTGTCGGGTTCGACAAAAACTCGGCTCTGTGTATGGACACTAGGCTGATTCGTACATTGGTATTTTACTGCATTATGACAGTTACAAGGAAGATTATCAAGCCATTATTGTTTCCTATACGAAAAAGAACTCCAACAACTTCTTATCCACCCATTCGGCACCTCCGATTGTTTACCTTTTTCCGTATCCCTTTAGCAAGGTTCACACAATAGGTGGAATGAATCAGGGGGAAGACGTAGAGAAATTGGGCAAACTAGATGGCCTTATTTCCAACGTTTCTTCCATTCAGCCACTGCTACTGACAGTCAAGCTCTTGCGTTTGGAGGTGCTACAAAAATGTAAAAGAAGCCCATTTTGGTCTGTAAAAAAGTCAAATTCTGGGAGAGTTGATTATGCTGATCTTACGTGTAACGAAAATATACATACTCTATCCGAATCCCCTCTTTTGCATCGAGTGGTAAAAAGGGGTCTCTAAACATGTGCAGAGAGATATGGTAGTAGAGCTGTAGACGCTCCTGGTCCTGGTCTTCTCACTGTTGGACTTCTTACAAAACACCTTTCACCTGGATCCTTCCTTATCTCCGCCAAGCTGACCACATATGATAGGACAAACAAATGGGTCTAGCTAATAATTGCCGTCAATGCTGCAACCGCAGCTGTGATCCACTGCCATCTAATTTAAAGCCGTTTCGTTATTGCTGCCAAAGAAAGCTAGAATTTGGTTGGAAGATAGGTGACAGTTGTCCTCCAGCCAACGGACTTACAGCTTTGAATGAGATACTTAATATTCAAGCCTTTTTTTAGTGGTCGTTATCATGGCAGATGATTACTTGCATGTGCGCTTATCCGTTTTCTACCTCTTTTCTTCAAAGTCTGAATTCTCCTGCTTGCTTTTTCGTTTTAGTCATCCACCGTATAAAAGAAATTATTTTTGACAAGCTAAAGACTATTTTTTAAATGCTCAAAGATTCTGCTGTGAATGCCTGCGACCCCGGAAAGTGTTCCACTTTCGATTTACGAGGGGGTTCCATTTACATACCGCTCTATTCCTCCTGGTTGGCTGATTTTAGACGCAGAATTTTCTTAAGAGCCCTACTAATCACTATAATGACAAGGTCAATCAAAAACTATAGCGAGTCGGGCGATGATTTCGGTAGTCTCTGCTGTCCTGTCAGCTGTCATGCCATTGAGCTCTGTTCTCCCCTGTTAGTCATGCACGTCGGCAAGTAGGTTCATTTGTCCACGTTTCTGTCTGCCGATTACTCGGGCTAGGAACTTGAAAGGGGCCATATTTACATTGAAGACATAAGTTTATTAAAAGTTCCTTTGATTTCGGTGTTAGGATTTACCAAAGGAAAAAATCCCTTTTCCAACAAGCTGCTAATAACAAGTGCACTCCATTCTCGACGCTATCAGATCCAAAATTTGGTGTTAGGCATCCGCTGAGGAACTAAAACTAGTAGTAAGACAAGGAGGCCAGGCCGTGAGGCGGAAATACAATTCCAGAGACTTAAGCGCTCAGCTAATCAAACACCGAGCTAACCAAACTATCAAAGCATTACATAGCCCTTCTCCCATTTTGAGCGTCGTCTCTTTTACTCCCTTTAGTCAACAGCACGCATCGGCCGTCGCAAAGTGGTCAGTGTTGTAAGAAAAACAATCACTGAGCAACTGAGCCTATATTTGATCCCAGGGTCACTGATGCATCTTAGCAATTGCATTGAGTAAGTGGTTTTGTCCTATTTAGGATATGTATTTGTGAAGAGCGTAATGCGCTGTCCTTCTACTGGCGGTAACTGGATGATGCGCTAAAACAAGGTCATCTCGTATCCTCACTGCAGCTCATAAGAAGACAGGCCTGAAAGCAGCGTCATTTGATTAAAGGTGGAGTTAAAAGATAGTCCTATGGTGACAATGCTTTGGGTCTGCACCTATCTGTTACTTCGCTCTCAATTTACTGCTGCCCAGCCATATTCATCCGACTTCCATCCACTTGGTAGAGAGGTGGAGGAGGCATCGCCCAATCACTTGATTGACTTTGAAATACGGGTATCATAGACAGCTCTGTAACGAACTTTACGAGACGTTTCAGGGCTACAGCTAGTGTCGTTTCTGTTGGTAATGGCATTCCTGCGGAATAGGGGATTGAGCTAATTGCCGAAGGTATGCGTCGTTTACTACCACTTTGTGAGGAGCCTTAGCAGATTTCCTTAACCACAGCACATGCTCTTCTTAAGCTAAGAAAAAACTCAGGATAGTTGTCCTTTGGGACAGGATTCGCCTGCAGCTGCCGTCTATGTAGCTC